TTCCAGGGGTAGCCTGTCCTGATTTAAAAAAAAAAAAATCATTTTCAGATGTGCATGTCTGGAAAGGCCATATTCTCTATTGAGTTAAATACCTTTAACATCTAAATGTGTAAACCTACCTGTCCAACACAGACAAAGAGTGAGAAGATGATAGTTCCCAGCCTATAAGATGCAAGAAAAAAAAAATGGAAGTGAGAAAGAAAAAAAAGGAATTTGAAGATGTTCACTTCCCGTTACGATGAATTTATACACTCTACTTTAAAATGACTGCTGCTTGTCGGCCTTTATACCTGATGCCAAAAACTCTGTCAATCATGAATCCCCCAAGGAAGCAGAGAACCACATTGGGCCAAGAGTACCAGGCGTACAATTGCATGAACTTTGCAGTGTTCAGGTTCAGATCCTGGTAAAGTCAGAAAGGAAGCAAAACTTTGTTATTGTTTTGTTATTTTAAATCAAGTTTCACGTATAAAATCTGGCCACATGGTATAGTTTGAGGAGTTAAAATACAATCCTCTTATTGCAGCACCTAGAAGTAGGTTAACTTGACTCTTATGTTTTTTTTTCACCATGCATAAATGCCTTTCTTAAAGCTGTTTGTCTTTCTAAGTAAAAAAAAAAAGCAAAAAAACAGTCACTTGTCTCATAGCCAGGGATGTGAATTCCTTTATTTACACTCCTGAATTTAACAACAATGAATTACCTGAATAACTTGGGTTTGAAGTGCAGCCGGGTTGTCATAACAGAAGTAGCTTCCTGAAAAACATGTAGCTAAATTAATGGACTACATTATACAACATATTTATGTTTGTATAACCCAGAAGTAAAAAATAATAATAATAATAATAAAATAACACTGTGAGCTTTCTGCAAACCACATGTTACTCTGTAAACGTCCTAAATCGCCATTCGAGATGCTTAGGGGAATTTAATGTGTACTATTTTACTGCTCACCAAATCCCAGAAAGCACATGAAAACCAGGACAACCACCCGGTGCAGGAGATGGTTGGGGTCGCAGATAGCCGGCAGTGTTTTACCGGGTCCTCCAGCCGCCTGTCCGCCGGCGGGCGACACGTCGTCCTCATCTCCCAACAACCTCTGCCGGTCCTCAGACTCCGCCATGTTTGTTTGTTTGGGATATGCAGCAGCAGCAGCAGGACGGGAGGAAAGTTTACGGCAGCGAGGAAGACGTAAGAGCGATCACATGACCCACGCAGACAGGTCACGTGGGAGTTTGCCTGCAGCTTTGCATCCGGGTGTGTTTATATCTTATATCGGCGCGTGCTTGGATTAAGCATAACCAACACGGGAGCGCGCGAAATAGTCAGAGACAACAGGTGTGGTGTGTTTGACGCGTAATATTTACAGACTGTGATTGGACAGAAAACATTCATCTAAATCACTGAAATTCAGAAATAATATCCCTATTGCTCAGTGATGTGCTTGAGGACACCATTCATGCAGATTTGTCTGTCTACTCGCCTTATATTGAATAGTTTCTGCTTATTATATGTCTGTACACTCATGCACTTTAACTTATGTCAATACTGTCCATTTACAACTTTGTTTCTGCACATTTACATTTAATCGTCCATATTTAATCTTCCTATTTAAGACCAGTAATGCTTAGTTAAATCCTGGTTGTATATATTCACATTCTTAGTTTTGATATTTTTAGTACTTGTTTACTTTGTATTTAATATTATATTGTGTTTAGATTTGCTAACATTGTGTTTTTTTACTCATATTGTGTGTTTGTACAACCTGCTGCCTGTATGGCCACAATGTCCCAGTTTGGGATCAATAAAGTGATTCTATTCTGTTCTAATAAGTGGCATAGTTTGAAGCACTTATGGAAACTCAATTTAAATGACTTGCCTTAATGTGATGTAGTGTATGTAGTCTCCTCGTTGCCTTTTTAATTATCGTATGAACCTCATAGGCCTACTTGATTCTCATTTTTATCTTTACATTTTTTGTATTGATTTATAATAAGAATAATAACAGTAGTAGTTATAATAACAATAACAAACATTATTATTCTTATACTAATTATTATTATTATTATTATTATTACTGATGTTTGTTGATTATGTGAAGACTGCGGAGAAGTAGAGGGGCACACTTTACAGCAGTAAATTCATAATATTATTCAACTAAGGCAGAAGGCGGGATTCATATTTAAAAAGAGAGCAGGAAGATGATAGGCTGACGGTGAAGGTGAGGCACCGCGCTATTGGATAGATGAGACCAGCTGACGAACAGGAAGTGTAAATAAGCATGCAGGGATGAATGAGAAATAATGATGAATTCAAAATATAGTCTTCCTGACTGAACTTACTCTTGAGCTTCATTAAACCTGTAAGTAAGACTTGTGAGTTTTAAGTATTTGCTGTTTTTGCTGTGTTGCGTCTCGGGTCTAGTCAGTGCAGAAGTCAGTGTCGCTCACCTCTAATCCACAGGTGCTTTTTTTTTTGTGGTGAATTTGACGTGTGCAATTGTTTACTTCTTTTGTTTAGAGTTTTGTTTTACCAATGTAACTGTGCTCGCCATGCATTGCCCAACAGAATCTCGTTTTGCTCTAATGTTCTGCTGAATCTATTTTGATCATTTTTTTCTTTTTGTCTTGCATCCTTAGTACAAGAGTGCTATGCATAATTAATGGAAAATACAAATAATATAAAGGTCCTGATAAAAAAACAAATGGTCCTTGACAATATCATTAAAATATGTTGCTTATTGATGATATATTATTATTAATACACTGAAAATATACATTCACAAAACTCTCGCATTTAAACTATTTAAAATTGTATTTTGAGCTTAGACTCTAGGAAAAATAATTTGCTGGTGGCCGGCCTCAATCATTACATATTTTAATGACTTGATGCTTCTCCCTTTTTATACTTACTTACTTGATTACTTACTTATTCCTCTTCACCCCTCATGGAAGTGATTCCCCAAAGATTTTCATCAACTTTTTAATTCAAAGGGAGTTATTCATCTTCAGAGTCAGGTTTAAAAACACCTACATAAAGCATTGACTGCTGTTACATCTTGAAACGTTGTCTTCTGTACTCTTTGCAGACCAAGTTTGAAATGAATTCCAAAAAATAAAGGAATTTTGTCATTTTTTGGGGGGGGGCTTGAAGTATTCTCATCTGAAGGGGGGCCTGACAGAAAAAGTGTGGGAACCACTGCCTTATGGGATATAGGGCGTCAATGAGCTTCGCCCATTGCAGTCAACAGTCTTGCCGGTGTCGTTTTTTTATGTAAATTAAAAAGCTGTGGCCACATTTTAGCCTGGATGTTTTTTAGTTTAGCTAAGCTTATGTGTTGAGTGAAGTTTGTGTAAATTGAAGAAGACTGCATTTTTGTCCTCCCTGTTTGAACAAATGAATGAATCTCTTAATAGCATTTGTACCTACTGTTTAAGTCTATAAGCTCTAAGCTGCTTTAAAGCCATTCCTCTGGTGTCTAGATGTAACAGTTTTTGAAACCTCTGATTTGCATCACTGACATGCTTGACGGGTTAATGCCATGTGAACAGGACCATCTTGTTTCTGTAAACCTTTAACACACTTCCTTCATATAAAACTGACAGTTCCCTGCCCTACATTTATCCTGCTCCTTTCTGTCCCAAACTTGTGTCTGTGCGTATACTGCTTGGCAACACTATCTCCAGGGTTTATTTAATTTCCATGAATGTCATTTAGAATTTCATATAATTCACCACTGCAGGGTCATCTGTCAGAGGATTTAATCTGAGGGTGACGAACGGTCGTTCCCCCGGCTGCAGTAGCCGCTCCGACCGTCGTGAAGCTCATTCATTTCCTGCCCAAATATAAGCCTCTGTCATAGCAGACAGGGGGTTAGGTGGAGGGAGATCATATTTCATTATTACATTAATCAGACCCGCATGCAGACACCATTGTAAATCAGGTGGGAGGTGACATTAATCCTGCACAACCAGTTTGTGAATGTCCTGCTGTGCCAATGTTGAAAAAACTCAATTTATTCCAGTTTTTTTTTTGTTGCCGCTTGTTCAATGCATGGACTGTTTAAATTTACATTCTACGGCTCAATGCAAGAAATGTGAGGCAATAATGCCAGTGCAATATTGTAAAAGTCTACCTCCAAAATCTTGCGGCGTTAGAAGATCAGGCTTACATTTGGGTTTGATTGAAAAAATAACCTCCAGCATAGATTATCAGTCTGTATTTCATTTTGCTCAATATGATCACAAGTTCCTCAGATAGCCGATAAGAAAATGTATTCTTTATAATCGAAACTAGATAAACAGCATGAGCCACAAGCAGCCACCTCTATTAAAAATAGAAACTGGTGGTTATGGTGTTATAACATATACGTGAGGATGTTAGCTCTGAATCCTATCACCATCGATGTCTGAGTGTGCGAGGTGGAGGAGGTGTGGTCAGGTGGTTTTATACTCCACTATATTTGGCTGCTTTTTGTCACAAAGATTACTGCCATTTGACCGAGGCTTTTGCTTCTTTGTTCACATGAACTCAACCAGTTAAAGAAAGACAAACAGTTAATCTGGTGACAAAGCTTGGTTGATCTCTGTTTCTAAGATTGAATGAAGTCAAACATCATACAGATTTAGTATCTAAAATATAAATTTTATTATGATAATACTATTGTTCTTTATACACAGTAGTTATAGCTCTAAGCTGTGCCTATTGCAGTTATGTTCCCCCTGCTTGTGTAACGGTTCAGTCCGTGGTTTCTCTGAGCGATCATTGGAGACCGATTACGTGCTCAACATGTTTACCCTTTAGCCAATGTTCGGTGAAGGGAACGTGCAGTCTGAAGGAGATTAGAGCAGAGGAAGTACAACATATGATAGAAAGCACAAGAAAGGAAACGTGTTGGATGACTAAGCAAACAAAAGTGCTTGGTTAAGTACTCTTATCAAAAAAAACTTCTCATGGTTGGCATAACTACTTTGTACTCTTGCATTAAAATATTTACAACCTTTGCCTTTAAAAAATATATATTTATCCAAGTAATACTCCTTCTTTTGGCCTCCTGCCGCCTACACAGTTACAGTAATTAATCATTACTTTGGGCTATGTGTGACATCTCCAGCTGGGTTGACGTCAGTGTCGGAGACTCCATGGTAGCTTTGTGGAGCGGCTTGTGACACAGTGCGGCTGTCAGTTTTTTCCTGAAAACCCTACACAGAAACACATAGATGAGCGGGTCCAGGCACACATTAGTGGCTGACAGCCACAGAGTGGTTTCCTTGGCGATGTAGAGTGCGTTCTGCGCCCGGCAGTGACTTGCCATGCTACCCGTCTGGGTCAGAGTGTAGGGCACGCGTGCAAAGTGAAATGGGGCAAAGCAGATGAAAAACACCCCCACCACTACAAACACCTTTGCCTTGGTTCTGCGGCTTGTTGCTTGAGATTTGCTCTTAGAGGCTTTGTAGGACTCGTAAACCTTCTTGCTTATAAATGTGTAGCAAACCACCATCAAGGCCAGCGTGCCCCAGAAAACAACCTGTGAAGTACAGACCACAGCATTTAGCAAGAATGGAACTTCTCACAGATCTTCTCACGACACAGTTAAGTAGTACCGGTAATTAGGAAATGCAAAGGTCAGGTGGCTGTGGTAGCATTGCAACCATTATGTAAAAGCCACTGTAAACCACTGCATTACCTCTTGCAAGGCATTTGCTAAGCTTTCTTTGAGACAGTTAAGAGCAACAGTTGATGGCACAATCAAGGTTCTGGAAACTGTATACCTGTCTTTGTTCAATAACAGAATCCATACACTAGCATATTTTATGCTCTTTATGTAATATATTATGTGTTTGTCATTGTCAAGGATTTAATTCATGCAAAGTTTAAAAAAAAATAAAAAATTAAATGTACTACTCTGGTGCTGAAAGACCTATGGTGGAGACTACCTATGCTGGGATGGAGAAGTACCTATTTTGGACAAGTATGAATTAGTCCTACCTGTGTATGTTTGAGAAAATGGTCTGTAACACGCTGAAGATTTAAACATTTATTCTGGATTCAGCACCCAGTTTTTTGTTTTTTGTTTTTTTTACATTACTTGTATTTGTTTTTTTCTGCCATTATTTCTGAGACTGATAAGACATTTAGGCACAACTACTTTGATTTTTTCTATCTTCAAGCAAATCAGTTTTTATACAAATTGCTGCCCTTTAGTTGCAATGTCTGTTAAAAGCTATTTTTCCATTTAACAAATCTGGAAGACTGATTTTGTTTCACAGTGTCAGGCCCTATGCTGCTGACCATGTTTCCAGTCTAAATATTAACCCACCAGTTATTGGCACTTGTTCATATTTGTCTCACATGGATGGATAACATGACATTAGTGACGATCTCTTGCCAAGAGAGTGAATAACTGTATTGTCAAACTACGCCTTCAAATCTACCTGACAGAAGTAGTTGAATCCCTCGTGCCACAGCAGGCCGGCTATGCTCTTCATGGAGGTGCACTTCAATCTGCCCCTAGTCACCCGGGCCGGCTGGTCGCTTAGGATGACATTGGGCAGCGCCAGAGAAAGCATCACCACCCAGATAACGGCGCTCAGCACTTGACCAACACGGACCCGCTGCAGAGCACTCTTCCCAAAGGGCTTGACTATCTTCAGGTAGCGGTCCAGACTGATGAGGCCCAGCAGGAGGATGCTGATGTACATAGTGATGTAGAAGAGGACGGCAGAGTACCGGCAGTGGAAGGCACGTAGTCTCCAGGAGCCCACGCCTGCATCACTCAAGACTCTCAGAGGGATGGTCAGGGTCATCAGGAAATCAGCCACCACCTAAAAAAAGGAAACATTAGTCCTTGTTGTTTTGCACAAGCAACAAGATTATTATTTTTTAAAAAGAAAAAGCTCCTTTTGTCTTACCACATTTTTTAGAAAGACCACAAATGTTGAGGTGCTGGGATGTTGAAGAAGATCCATGCAGCCAGAGAGTTCAGTATCAGGGCGACTACAAAGAGGACGCTGTACAGGCAGGGGAAGACAACAGCCGTCACACTGGTGTCCCGATCACACTTGATGGAAGTGTTTGACAGGCTGGTGTTCATTTTTCTGATCTTTGGTGGATCTTAAGAGGGATGAGAAAGCTAGGACATAAAGATAAAATATGACTGAACTGGCACTTCTTTTTCCATGCATAAAATAATACGTCAAAACTTTTTTTTGGAAGCAGCAGTGCCGTACAGCACAATAAATACAACAAAATCTATTCAAAAGAAAGTATACCTCTAGTTATATGTATATACAAATGTAATTGTGCAATATTTGAATGGAGAGATAATTTACTCATTAATAGTGGAGATAGAGAAGTTCTAATGAGGCTGTTCAGTTATTGTACAGTGAGTTAATGAACTAACTAATTAACTGCACAAAATAAGTATCAGACAGGTTAGCAGCAAATCGTAAAAGGACGCTTTTCCAGTCTTCTGTCTACTCAAAGCGCTTTTACACAGCATGTCACACGTACACATTCACACCCTGATGGCAGACGCTGCTATGTAAAGTGACAATCGGAAGTAATTTATCCCATTCGCTCACATTCATACGCCACTGACGAAGCAGCTGGATTAAGTGTCTTGCCCAACAATGTCGTAGAGAGAGGGAGAGGAGCATAATATACTCAATATTTAAAGTAGCCTAAATCATACACATAAATTAAGTTAAAAAAAACTGCATTCCATTTTTTTTTTACACAGAACCTAGAATGATGCAATGGCTACTGTATTTGGTCAGTAGGTGATTAGCTCTGTTATTATTTTTTCTCTTTTCAAGACTCAAATCTGAAAATTAAAATACCCTTATGTCAAATCTCAATAAATTGCAACCACTTCTGCTGGAGCATAAAAATATTTTTCTTGAATTAAAACATTTATAAAGTGTAATGGCTCTGTTTCTGTAGCTTGAGATGAAGATTCAGTAATATACGGTTGGACTTGTTATTTAGTGGAGCAGTGGGTTTGCATGGTTACACCTCTGAATGCATCAAACAAACAAACTCTTCCATCTGTTCGTTCTGAATTCTCCTCCTGCATGTCTGACAGTATATCTGCCTGTTGTGCTGCCTTTACATTGAAAACCTAGCTGCTTTGAATAACACTGAGCCCTGACACAGGTGCTATGGCAACCAAGCTTTACATTACAGGCAATCTTTCGTCCTTTTTGCTGAGAAAACTAAAATGAATTTACTTCTTGGACAAACTTTGCTCCGCTCAGACTTGGATTTAATCTAGAAGATTTACAGTAATTGATTCTTACCTTCGTCTTGTGTCCTTATGCTCTGTGACTGCAGGAGACGTGAGGATTGATATTGCACAGCTGTGAATAAATACACTATTTCAAAAAGAGGAAGAGAGGATTATCAAATTCTTCTTTCCACTTCTCACGAACAGGAAGCTAATGAACCAAAAGAAACAATTGACATCCCCCTGTGTTACTTTAGTTTGTTTAAATCCTTCTAGACATAGACAGCCTACAACCCTATAAAGGTTTCAGCTTGCCTGTGTTCCTCTGTATCTCTCTCTCTCTCTCTCTCTCTCTCTCTCTCTCTCTCTCTTTAAGTGCATGTGTGTGTTTGATGCTCTTACAATGGGTGGTCTCTGCAGCTACTGTGTGGCTGTCTTGTCACAATCCCAACGAGTTTGCCAGTCTTCCTCCGGGTGAAAGCCCCCTTTCCTTCCTCGCTTCCTGCTCCAATTGTCTGCCGAGAGCCTTGTTCTGCTCCGTGCCAGTCCCCCTTCCTCTGCTAGCTTGCGTCAGGCTCCGTGGCGTGTTGACAGATCGAACACCAAAGCCACAGACTCATTGCTCGACACACATCTATAGACCTCCTGCCCCCCCCCTCATACCCACCTTTATCTGTCTTTCTCTCTCAGTCCAATTTGAGTCTCTGACCAGTGCAGCGCAGACTTGTTCCTGTTTGTGATTTTCTTCATTTATTTACAATAAATGCTAGCTATTTCACAGAAGTATGTAAATGCAAAACTTAGTTCAGAAGAAGTGAAAGCGCTGTCCCTTGCACTTTCTCTGGGATCAGTTTGGCTTTGTTACAGTGTGACTCCCTTTTGTCCTATCTTGTTAAAAATAGTGCATCCTAAAAACAACAGAATTATTTCCTCTGTGGGCTAGCTTGGGTCAGGACCAGGAAATATGACCGACAGGGGAAATAAGTATATGAGAACTGACGTGTTCAACAACAAACCTCAAGTTAATCTTTATCTCATGTGACAAGAACACGTTTTTGTTGTTTCTTTAAAACATGTTTGACATTTTTACACTGCACCCCAAGTACGACTACATTTACCAGAACACCTTTTGTTTCCTGTTCATGATCTCAGCAAACTCAGGAGCGGTGGTTTAGTGGTTTACATAAATAAAACCTCAGAAGAAAAAAGGCTTACCGGTACTTTGCTTGTTTGGTTTATTAAACCTGTTACGGCTGCATGTCTTTCTGTCCTGTGTGTCCCTTTTCCTCCTCTGTTGTGTTTCACCCTGCAGGGGGATCGAACCATTTCTCAGCTATAGGTTCACCCGTCTCGGCCTCTTCAGGGTCCCGTGCTGCTTTCAGAGAACAGAGAGGCTTGTTTGGCCCCTCAGAAAGGATTTTTTTTTTTTTTTGTTGCCTTTTGTTGCATCAGTTCTTATTTGATCTTTGTTTAATGGTGTTGTTCTTCAAGTGTGCATTATTAATAAATCACATCTGAGTATTTTAAGGTATTGTACACATTTTAATTCGGTCCATTTGTGGATTATTATTCACTTTATAGGGCTGCTGGAGTGCAACTGTCCCGTAATAGAAAAGCTAAATAAAATCATAAAAAGAACATGTGTCTTATTGAGCTACGCCAACAAATACTTATTACTACTATTCACCAAGAAAATACAATTTTACAGATGTTTTACTGAGTTTAATACACACAAAAAATGAAGATCCTATTTTTTTTTTTTTTTTTACCTCTGTTGATTATTTGTTATGTTTTGCTTTGATATCATTTCCTTGTAATTTGCAGTGGCCGTGGTTTTACCTTATTTGTGGCTGTGCATTGCGGTAGCGGACAGTTAGACAAAGAGGTTGAGTGGGTTTGATTATTTTCAGTTGACCATCATCGTCATTGTTTTTTGTTTGGAATAATTTTTCACTCTTTTGTTTAATAAATCAACAAACTTATCTGGACTTTGAATTTTACTTTGATACGAACAAGTCACACTCACATAATCAAAAACTTGTTGCGCACTTTATTTGGTGTCTTTTAGATTAGAGGAGGAGAACTGATCATTTTCAAACATCTTTTGCTCTGTGCATTTAGTCACTTTTCATGTGAAATGTGATGAGCACTGCAGGAAGTGATGATATTGGCATATGATTTAATCTGCAGAGCTTTATACAAGCATAAACTTTTTTTTTTCTGTAACCACAATCATACAACACGAGTATGAAAATCAAATATTGACGTACTTCAGCCTGCTTTTCATGACTGCGTCAGTTACTATCTTTGTTTCTGAAGAACTCTATTTGCTTTTTAAATTTATTGTAATATAAAAAACATGGTTTGTTGACATAAACACAGCACGCTCACATCTCCTCACTGACTGCACACTGTTTATCTCCATCCTTCTTGTATTTCCTGTTAGTGGTTTTCACAATATTTAAAGTGCCACTCTAACATGACAGAGCAGAACTCTATAAATAGACAGCTCATACAGCATCTATAAATGAGACTATAATCTGACATTGAATCTACAAAGTAATCAACATAATGAACATTTCAGAGCTGAACATGGCAAGCAGCTCTGTCAGAATCTAGTCTTTGGCACAGAGCTTCCTGCTTTCTCTGCAGAGGCTCCACAAAACGAGACAGACAAACTATTCATCATGGACTTCAGCGCTTCCTGAAACTCCCTGCACAGAAACACGTAGAGAAGTGGATTCATGCAGATGTTGGTGGTGGCAAACCAGAGGCTGAGGTCCTTTGCAAACCCTCCTAATAAATAGGAGCAGCTGGTGGTGGAGGAGTAGTTGACTTGTTGAAAAGTATAGGGGATCCTGATAATGTGGTACGGTCCGAACGACACAAAAAACACGATGAGAACCAGAAAGACGCGCAGTTTGATCTTCTGCTTTCCCTGGTTGTTGTTGCTGCCGGAGTTTCTAAAAGACTGGATCACTTTGTTTGTGATGCAAATATAGCAAACCGCAATCACCACACTGATGAGCCAGAAAAGCACATTCAAGGAAATCACCGTCATTTCGTGTGCTTCAAGTCCGGCCGGGCCTTTCAGCTTCATGCAAGTGCTGATCTCTGTCATGTTGGCGAGCGATTTGTTACTCAGAATGATATTTGGTAGAGCGGAGCCTCCAAACAAGATCACCCACACTGATCCTGAGACCACTTTGCTAAAGGTCAGATTACTGAACACTTTGCTGTGGGGCATCATGATCTTGAAGAAACGGTCCAGACTGATCAAGCCCAACAGAGTAATACATGTGTACAGTGTACTGTAGAACATGGTGCTGAAATAACGGCATGAAAGTGTAAACAACACGTACGATGCGCCCGGCAGGTCACTTGCAGCTTTGATCGGGACGAGGACCGTCATAACGATGTCAGCAGCTACTAGGTTTTTCAGGTACACAATGAAGGTGGATTCAGATTTGAGGTGCAGAAACACCCAGGCTGCCACGCTGTTCAGCAACAAAGCTATGGGGAATAAAAGAAAGTAAAGAGCAGGGGCAATGTGTGGGTCGTAGATGAAACCTTCACAACCCGACTCATTGTAAGATGTTTCATTCAGTGCCGTCGCTGCGCCTGAGGAAGATGGAAATACATGTTAGAACACACAAAGAAACGTTATCATTATATTTCAGGTTTTGTATGATCTTGTCGGTTGTTTTTCCACTTTATAACATCAAAGATTTCTTTACTCACCCTGCTGGATTATGTCGAATGGATCCATCCATGCATCCATTTTTTTGTCCCTTCTGTTTGTCACAGTTGCAAGCTTAGCAAAGAAAAAGAAGCAGCAAGTTGTTTAACGTGGTGTTCACTGCAGAGTAGTGTGAAATATATCCCCTTTTTTTTTTTATAAAGAAAACTTTTTAATCTTTTTCATTTCATATCAATGCCATTTTACAACACATTTGATCACACTAAACAAAAAATGTCAAATAAAAACAATCTGAATACTAATAGAATAGAATCAATAAAGGGTTGCTTGTAGTTTTCTGAGTCCTTCTTTTACTTCTGATTGACTCAATGAGGTATAAAGGGGAACAATGAGTGTCCCTCAGTAGTTCCCTACACTGGCCTTTTTTTTTTTCCAAATACCTAATTCTTGTAAAGAAAGAGATAAAAAATGTGAGAAGCACAGGGCTCCCCGAATGGCTTTAAACCCAAATCAAAGCACTTTATGCTTCAGTATCTTTTAGCTTTCTGTCAAGCTGAAATAACCTTGACTGGGTGTAGCTTCAACTTCAACAAACTGCTTATTCTCCTGCAACTTTTATCCACAATTGTGGTCATTTTTCTGATACTGTGTGAACTTGCTGTGCTCAAAGTGTTATTTGAGACCTCTTCAAAAGGACACAGCAGAAGATGTAGCAACTCTTTGAATAGAATAGAATACTTTATTGTTACAGATGTACAGAGAAATCTTGTGGTAAATTTTTCATCTCATTGTGGTAAAAAATTAAAAACAAACAACAAGAACAGATAAGATGAAAAAAATACATATTTACAAATAATTTAAAATCCCAGTTCTAATTCTAAATATACATCACTTCCTTCATGCAGCTCTTGATCTACTTTTTAATGAATTAGTCATAAAAAAAGAAGACATCTTGATAATAACTTACCGTTGATGACTCGACTCAGTCCTCACAAAACCGAAGCTTCAGCACGGATCTGTGTGCATGAACTGAAATGGTAGGTGTTGAAGACACACTGTGGATGTACCTGGCAAACAAATCAATGTCTCATCAGTGAGGACAGAATTGGGAACATATGCAAAACTAGGAAAAACGTAGTGGTCTTTAACCAAAAACAAAATATGCATTATACACACAGCCCGTAGTGAGAAAGGAGCAGTGATTGGATAAATGAGTAGATGGGGTGAACGCTTGGGTTTTGGAGTCTCCTATGTTTCTTTCTTTGTTTTTTTTGGATTACATTTTGGATCAGATATTATTGCTTCTGTATTGTCTTTCCAAAACTGATCAGAGTCAGATTTTTTTTTTTTTTCCACGGACCAGTTACACCAACCTAAAGTTTTCTCCATGTATCATTCTGGTCATAATCCTTGAAATCATTAATCATGACGAATGTAATGTAGTTTGGCTCTAGCTGAGCATCATTAGAAAGATTAAATACACATCATATTTCCACTGCTTGCCATCTTTTTGTTGTGTATTGATGTTAACAGATATACCTTGATGTCAAATATTGTAGCTTTATTGGTTAATATAATGAATTCAATGGAAACTTTGATGACTGATTGATTACATCTTTTTTTAAGATTTATTTTCTGGCTTTTTATGCCTTTCATTCAGAGATAGGACACTGGATAAAGTCTGAAACCGGGGAGAGAGATGTTGGGGAATGACATGCAGGAGCGGAGCCACAGGTCGGATTCAAACCCAAGCTATACCCGCTCTTGTGGACTTAAGCATCTGTACATGAGGCGAACGCACTAACCGGAAGGCTAACAGCACCCCTGATTACATCATTTAAAACAAGAGTAAATGAGTTGTTCTTGCAGCAAATGGTGCAGTGACATCATCTAACCTACAGGGGGCCTCAGCTTTGAAAGCAACTAAACTGGCCACTCTGCAAAAAAAAAAAAGAGAGTGCAGGTGACCCCCAGTAGATTTATGTTTCTAGTTCAATTTCAATAAAGCCATTTAAAATAATTTGCCAAGAAGTAAAAGCACGCATCAGTTTCCAAATGTGAAAGCTGCAGTAAATTGTGCTGACTAACAAAGTGGTTGCATTGGTATTTCATTTCATTTCTAACTTTACTGTTTGCATCGAGGTAGACATTGCTGCACAATGACATTGTTAATGACTTACAGAGATAATGAAAACCAGAATATAAGAATCAGTTTAACTTAACAAAGCTCTTAAATGAGGAAGCTATAAAACTTGGATACATGGTGATTAGAATCGTTGTGGAATGATTTATACTACCACTCATTTCAACAACTAAAACAAAGGGTATGGTCTTTTAATGGTTCTGTTATATGATGCCTCTGAGCTGCAGAAAAAGAATCTCTGTTTAGACTCTTGGGTTACTTCTTGTGCAATAAAAGTCACACAAATAACTGAATTTTTCACAAACAGGAAAACAAAGCAAAACTTTATGTAACTACAAACTCAAATTTATTAACAAAAATCCCATATCCAATAAATATATATATCTATAAGTACATGTACATGTCACTGCATAGAGACACACACTGAGACCTGACCACTGAGTTTAACATAGAGCTTCATGTGTTCAAACGTTATAACTCATTTGATTGTAAGCAATGACAAACGTGTATATTACATTTTTAAACTTTTGTACTCTGTCAATAAACTGTCATATCTATCTGATGTAGTAAATCAATCATCATCGTGTTCACTGGACAGTATATGGACAATCTTACTTAGGTCACTAGAGGGCAGTATAGCATCACATTTAAAGCTCATACCAGTAAGTCAGTGTAAGACTGCTAAGGTCCCTTACTTCCTGAAAGTAGCTCATGAATAAAATCCTTATTAAATTGTATTTAGTTGTGTTTATTGCCTGTAACTTCTACTGCTGGGTAAGTGTCAGTACATGATATTGACAGCACACCGCAGAGAACGTAAAGATAAGTTAGTGCTATGCACATTTAAAAGACAGTAGGCAAATATTTTAAATCAGAAAACACTTCTTAAACATACCCAGCACAGTATCAGTAAAATGGTAAAAAGTTAGGCTATGGCTTTGTCCACAGGTGGCGCCAAAGATCAAATTGAACCTGCAGGAGCTTTAAATGTGTCACACTTCAAAAGTTTTTTCCCCCACTAATAAATGACTTACTTCTACTGCGAAGTCTCCTCTCTTTCACCTGAATATAACCGGACACTGATGCCTCTAGCTTTCAGCATGTCCACCAGTTTGTCTCTGTATTCCCTGCACAGGTATACGTAGAGGACAGGGTCCAGACAAGCATTAGTGGTCGACAGCCACAGGCATAATGTTTGGCCTGTTGTCACCCACATTTCCGTGCAGCCACCAATATCCATCACTTCAAGCAATGTGCTGGGAATACGGATAATGTGCAGAGGCACAAAACACACAAAGAACACCAGAAGAATCGAGAAGACTCGTAGCTTGGTCTTCTTCTTCCCTTGGCTGTTGTTGCTCCCTGAGTTTCTGAAGGACTGCAGGACTTTCAGGGTGATGCATACATAGCAGAACACAATCAGTATGCCGACGAGCCAGAATAGGGCTTCCATGAAGAGGACTACATACTTGTGAAGGGTCACACCAGCTGGACTTTTCATGGACATGCAGAAATCTGCTGTTATATTTAGAGGACTCTGGTCTGTCAGAATGATTGTTGGGATACCTGTGCAGGTAAATAACAGCAACCAAACCAAGCTGGATGTAACACGACTGAAGGTAACACTTTGTCCTAACAGCTTCCCAAATGGGCGAACAATTTTGAAGAAGCGGTCGAGGCTGATGAGACCCATCAAGGTGATACTCGTGTACAAACAGTTGTAGAAGATGACGGAAGAGTAGCGACAGTCGAACGCCCGCAACCACACTGTTGCTCCCGGTAGCTTGCTAGCTGCCTTCGCCGGAAGCATCAGTATCATGAGGAGGTCAGCAGCCACCAGGTTCTTTAGATACACAATGAAGGTAGACGAAGACGGGAGGTGAAAGGACACCCATGCAGCTACCCCATTGAGCAGCAATGCAAAGGGGATCAGAAGTAAGTAAAGGCACACGACGGCAACATTTACTGTCACAAAGCTGAAGGGAGCGCAGTCATCAGAGTGTTGTGCAGTGTAGTTGGACGCCATTGTTCAATCTGGGGTAAGAAAGAGACACACAGGGATAAAAGACAAAGTCAACAGGTTTTTTGACATTGCTGAATTTTTGGCAGAGCCTATTTAATCTTGAACTGGTCTCGGAACAACTCCTTGGAATGGTAATCAGGGAGTTAGCCTGTGTAGGCTTTTAAGATCAGACCGATATCGACACTGTTTGCATCAGTGGATGAAAGACTTATTTGCATGAATTTATGTAAAGCATTGTGTAGCGATGTGAGAAAAAAAACATCACGTTCATTCCATTTTCAGATTTAATTGATTGGGCTGATGTGAGTTAGGATTTCATTTTTCTGTGGCCAGTCACTGCCGGGGCACCTGCCTAAGACAACAACTGCTCTAAATGTGCCTCAGCCTACCCTGATTTGCATTCATCATTACGCAAAACATTTGTTACTATAATTTGGTTTTGAATGCGTCCTGGAACCTGACACTTCCACTTTCTACTCTGAATAAGAGAAGTTATGTCACTGTTGGATTTTGTTTTCTACATGCAAAATAAAAACAGGTTAAGTTACTTTACTACCTCACACAGTAACAAAGTTTTTTTAATATGTATTTGTTTATTTGATATGGACATACAGAAACATCTGTGCTCTAACAGCACTGTTCTATTTGTTTATAGCAATATAATCTGCAACACCTGTCCAAAGGAGGCTTTTAGAAATAAAAGATAGAAATAAAGAAAAACGGATAACATACATATATACCAAATAATAGTCGCAATCCCTTTGCCCTCAATATCATTGTTGCCTCAAAGATTCTTTAATTTGTCTGATTTTCTTTGCTATTGGTTAAAAACGTGTTATCAGTTTTTTCTGCTTTACCCCTGAGTGATATGTGTTTAAATTAGTGTCTTTTGTGCAGTTAAGCTTAAACCTATTTTACGTGTGAACATATAGAGAATGGTCTCCAACAATAGAAACTACCTGCTTTAACTGTTGATAGAGAAAAGCACTTGTTTGGCATTCATGTAGTTGAGCCAAATTAAGGCTTCTGTGCAAAATACGTATCTGAGCATGATTAGGTTTCATCAGACTTTTATCATTTTGCTTTTGTCAAACAACCAAATTCAATTATTTTAGGCAATTTGTCATCCTTTACAGGAGGAAAACGTTACCTTTGCTTCAGATAATATTGAGAAAGTTAACTATCCAGAAAAATCAAAATAACTAAATCTAATATGTAATGTCCCTAGTCACACCTATATCTAATCTGAAACATTTATTACAACACATTTTACACAATATTAAGTCACTTACCGATGGTCATGATGTCCTTACCTTCACAATGGAACACCTGGCATGGTTAACACCTTCCAAAGATGGTTGACCGAAGATGTTCGAGCCAATTCAACCAGAAAGATGCAAATCCATGAATACAGAGCTGCTGTGGAGGGAAAAAGTATTCAAATGGCATATATTGGGCTTAACCATATTTTTTCAGTTTACAATAATTCAATCTCTGGACTTGAACTTCAAATCCAGGTATTGTTTGACAATAAATGTTTCTTCAATTATTTTCCTATCAGTAAAATTATTAACCTAATCATGTTGACTTTTAGAGTTTATTATTCTTTCCTAGAAATAAAAAGTTATTAGTTACATTTTGAAATTCAGTCAATGATACTAGTGAATAGAGCGCATTAAGGGTAGAGGTACTTTCTCAACAAGAGGAAGTACACTTTAAGTGCTTAAGATCATACTGGGGTAGAGTTAAGAAATGTGGGGAAAAAAATGCCAACCGTCGAATAACCACTGGACCAACCAAATTGCAGAAGTATAATAACTTTCTTTTTTGTTTTAATTTCTCTGGAACCGATCTGTCCAAAATTTCAGCTTATGCATTTCAACAGAACATAACCCAGTCCTGTGGAAGTGCCATTTTGGCCTGTCTTTTGGTACTTCACTTGTCCTTAGCTGGTTACGACATAGACAAGCATTCTTGATTGAAGCAACAGTAAAGAAAAGAAAATCCCACATGTAGAGTTCACATCAAATTTAATCTGCTATACTGTTAGAATATCCAAAAGAATCATGCATGTTCAACAATAAAAGATCTTTATTGACATGAGTTTATTGGTCAAAGTTGAGGTTAAATATAAAGGTAGGAGGAGGATTAGTTATATCTTCAGTTTTTTAAATGAATACATGCTGTTTCTTCAGAGTTGTGACAATCTAAAAGAGGAACTTCAGGATGTTGTTTTTAAGTGGAATAGAGAACAGAAAGGACAACCTTAAAAAAATCATTCCAGGTTTGGTCGTAAGTCAACAATCAAAAATGTTTGTGTGGATGTCTGTGCTTCTTGACTTCTCTTTCCTAACAGGAAATACATTTACTGCCATACTGCAGTTACTGCTGCAGTATGGCAGGTATAGGCTATCAGATGAGGAGATTGACAGAACGTTACCAAAACAGCCTTTGTTTACATTTTTAGGGCAAATATTCACGTTCAATATTCAAGTGATACACCTGACTGTTAAAAAGAGGCACGATTACATTTCTCATGGTCTCATGGTTTTAATATGTTAATGTAATCATTTTGTGATTTTCATCAGCATGAATATGCTCTGCAATAGTCATTTCATGTTGGTTTTTAGGAATGACTGTCAACATGGGGATGAACACAAGTGAGAGAATAGGTCACTTTGTCTTTCATAATGTTAAAAACAAAACCTCTTTATTTTTTGTAATGGCCCTATGTACACACAGAGGAGTCTCTCATAGGCGTGCTGTCTGTGTCCGTGTCCGACCCTCTCTTTAGCAGCCTGCTACAGGTACCATGCGGCAGCTTCAGGGTCTTGAACAGAGTGGTCCGGAAGGACTTGCAGAGGAAGAAGTAGATGAGAGGGTCCAGAAGAGAGTTTGAGGATGAGAGGAAGAGCGTGCTTTCCTTCAGCTGAAAGAAGAAGAGTTTGAGTTTGCAGTCAAACATAACCACATGGGTCTGGCTGATCGTGTACGGCACGCGGGCAAAGTGAAACGGCACAAAGCACACAAAGAACACGGCCAGAACCAGGAACACGTTTGCGCTCATTTTTCTTTTAGCCTGTCCTGGCTTTCGAATGGTGCCTCCACTTGATGCTTTACAAATAGTTGCCCCGGTGCCCTGAGATTTGGTGCGGGAGTAGGATCTGTACAGCTCTTTTGTGATTAGAGTGTAGCAAACCACCACAGTCACCAGGTTGCTCCAGAAAACGACCTGACAGGCATAATTCACAACCTCATGCCAGTAAAGCCCAGCGTCGCTCTTCAGTTCACTGCACTTAAAATATGGAGACTTGGGCGTTTTACTCGTCAGGAACACGTTAGGTAGACAGAGAATGAGCTGGAACGTCCAGATGGCCCCTGAGAGGACTTTGCGACGGGCTAACCGGGCAGCGTTAGTCCCCCTGAACGGCTTGAGGGTCTTCCTGCAGCGGTCGATGCTGATGAGGCCGAAGAAGAGGATGCTGATGTACATGGTGAGGTAGAAGAGCACTGAGGAGACCCGACACACAAATATACGCAGCCCAGTCGAGCCGATGTTGGAGTCTGATAACACCTGTGGAAACACAGACTTACATTAAACCAAAGTATATTATAAAGTTGATAAGCTTACGGAATAAGCTGGATTCTCCCCCTTAATAATCAGAAAAAACATTTGTTGTTATTTATAAAGAAAGAAGAATATTTTGGATGCCAAATTTTTAACAAATTGTTTTAGAGACTGAGTATTAACTTAAAATAATGAAAATAATTTCCTACTCTATTGGAAATAAAAAAAAAAACAATTGGGATGCCAAATTGTCAATAAAGGGTTTTAGAGATACAGTAGATACCTCTAATACTGAAAATCATTTACTAATTAATATGGAAATATATGAATAAAAACATCTGGGATGCCAAATTGCGATTTGTAGGGTATAAAGATTAAATTGATAAATGTATTAATTAAAATTGTTCAAACAATTTATGCACGATTTGTGTTTTAGGAACTCAGAAACTCAAAATGACGGCTTTTAAAAGTGGCTGCTGGTACCCTTTAGAAATATGTTATAAATATTAAGAAAAATAACTCATGACCTTAATTGACGTTCAATAAATCGCTTGAATAAGAACTCATCAAGAAGAGATTTTTTTACAACCTTCTTTTTCTGACATTGTTCTCATGCATGCCCCACAACTAATCCATTTGATGTAGTTAAAAACAAACGTTGATAAACACATCAGTTACAGTTTTATTCAGTGTGCCTTATAAATGAATAAGTTACCTTGAAAGGGAATGTTAAGGTCATGATGACATCTGCCACCACAATATTCTTCAGGTATATGATGAAGTGAGACTTGGATGGGATGCGAAAAAACACCCACACCGCCACCCCATTAAGGGTCAGCCCGACCAGAAAGAGAAAGGAGTAGAGAACCGGAAAAACCACCGTTTTCAGAACATTGTCACGGGAACATGTGCTGTTGGTGCGACTGCTGTGATTGCCAGAGGACAGGGGGAAGGTTGTAAAACTCTCCATGAGTAATTATCTAAAAAAAAAACACACAAGAAAAACAAGAAACAAATAAAGAATGATTTAACTAAGAAGTATGTACTTTTTAAAACAAGTTGATATCCAATACAGTTTTGCAGTTGTGTAGATCATTATTGTGCACATGTTCAGTTGGCATTGATACCTTTCACAGTATGAGTATCTAATAATTTCACTTTCCGGAAGGCTATAGTTTGATCACATGTATGACTGGTTGCCTTGCCTTTATGCAAACAGCATTTGTTTAAGTGAGCACATCTACCTCGATTTTATATGATAACTACTATGTAAGGTTTTGTAACTGACCTGGTATTTATTCAGTCGTATCTCTGTGTTGTTCCATCAAGGTCCCAGTGCACGCTGTCCTCAATGTTTAGGAGTTTTAGGTCGCTCTCTCTTCTTTATTTTGTACAACATTGGATCTGACACTGTCCACGTGTCTGGTCTTCAGAGTTTAAAGATTGCAAATAAGTGTGCGGGCTGTCCATGTGCCTAGTCAACAGTTCAAATGTCGCAAACAAAGTGTGTGTGTATTTATCTGTTTGCATGCTGTTGATACACCAGTAACCGGAAGACTTTTTTTTATTTCTTCTCCTTTTTGTTTCCTGTCACGAATAGGGAAAGGCTGAAGCCTCTAGTCTGGCTCTAATTTCACAGAAATAAACAAATTCTGATCAGTGTAAACATCTGCAACAGAGGGCAGTTGATTTACTGCAGATAAATGCTAAGTTAAACATAAGGAAAAATACATATTATAAACAGAGAAAAGAAAGCATAATATGTTTTTTATTTAAAAATCATCATCATCTTCACAAGTTTTGTTATAACCATGCCTTTGTGATCCACACTTTAGTGAACTTTAGACTAAGTTTAATCTGGAATACTGTTTTAATTGTCATTTATTAGCTTCTTTGAGGAACTTTTCTGTTCGTGTTGATTTTGGCGCCTCCTTTGGACAAAGTAGTACCTTTTACCTCTTTGCTAATTTTGTATTGTACATGTGTAAGTTGTCCTTTTAACAAAAAAAAAGATCTATTCCTCTTGCCTTTTAGGAGCCGAACATAATATCAGCAGTGGTTTCAGGCAACAAAAACTGACTCAGAGGAATAGTCAGTCTTGTAAATTATTGTCTTGGTTGCTTTTTGTGCTCAAACAGAGACATCTTCATCTTCTACCAATATTTCAGTCTGTTTCATAACCAGTAATAGAATCCTAACAGAAGCTTTAAGTCATTGTTAATTCAAAGTGCACCCCTCCTTAATATCAGTCTCCTCCTCTCTGTCTCTCTACACTTTGTGGAAGAGCTCATTAGGGGCATTTACTCTCAAATATGAACCCACACTTTTGCCACAACCTCTATAAATCAATCATCCCGATGCCAAACTTAAAATCTTTTTGTCTTTTATTCTCTGTCATGCTGCCGTTGCGGTGCATATTGCTGTGACCCTCTGCCAACCCAGTCACCTCCAAGCAGTCCATCTTATCAGAGTCCGGGTCCAGTTCCTCTGCTCGTCCTGCATCCTTCCTCCACCACCGTCAGTGTCTGGACTCCATATCTTATCCTGCTCTCAGCCTCCCTATTAACTCATAAAGACATCATGATGTCACTCGTAATTAAGTCTCTACAGACTGGTCAAGATGGTTTTGTTGAAATGATGTACTATTTTACGACGTCTCATTCTCATTTTCTAATGAGACACAAGCTAATCTGTTTCCTCTGAGTGTCCTTTTTTTCTCGTGGATATCATCTGCCCACCATTTCATTATTTTATAAAGTGGCTAAAACTTGCTGGTATTTTATTCATTTAAAATTGCTTCATTGTGCTGACGTGCAGATTCTGAATAATATTGATAATATTAACATTTTAAAACAGGAAAAAACACATCGGCCTTAAAATGATTTGTCATAACATTAGCCATTGAACTCATTCTTTTCTTTTTTTTCTATTTTAGCTTGTTCCTCTGCATGTTTGTCGGACTGCAGCCTATCCCAGCATGCACTGCAAAAAAAAGGGAAGAAAAACAAATGAAGAGCAGAGGTAAAACATTTGTCATTTTGACACACATTCTTGCATTATGAAAGTTTAATATTAAATATATGTCCCAAGGTAGTTTTAGTAAGACCTGTGATACAATACAAAGCAATTCACTGAAAAAGAAAACGACCAGCTTGGAAACATATGGTTGCATAATCTTCTGTTTCCAGGTGGAAAAATATGCAAGAGCTTTTGGCAGATGCTTTCCTGATATAAAACTCCCCCACTGCTCACAATTCTATTCAGATTCAAACTGACTGCCTTCCAAGGCCCTGCTCATTGTGGTTTTCTACCTAGGAGTCTATAAAACACTGTCCGTATTGTGAAATCCGACATTTTTCCCAATTTGAGTGGTTTCACTCCCCACCCTCCGTCCCTCCGTCTTCAGACACAGCATGAAGAAACTTCTCCAAATCGTTGTCTGTTGTAATGTAGAGCAGACACAGTCCTATGATCAGGTAGATCAAAGTTTATGTTGCCTCTGTATACTGGTGTCTAAAGAATAGAAAATAAAGAGTCCTTGTAAAGTAAAAAACACTTAAACAGCATGTGCAAACTCTTGCAGGCTTTGACAACTGTCTGACTTTCACCACAACTGCAGTATTGCTGATGTCCTGGCAAAAAAAAACCTTATAAGCTAACAAGTACTGAGTCCAATGTTGGACTTAAACAGCAGGAGTTAATGATAGCAAGTAATTGTGAAGTAAAAGCAGCAGGAGACTCAAGTGCAGTCAAATCTAATAATTTTTGTCTGTAAGATTGTAAGATTTATTGCATGACTGAAATGTAAATTCAAGTGATCATTTTTTTTTTTAAAGACAAGAACAATTTATGAATTTCAATTTCAATTACTGAAATAGTAATGTATTACTGAATTGACAAACTTTTGACTCTTACCATCTCTGGTGTCAAAGAGGCAGACAGAACATAGAAACAATCCCAATGATCACACCAATCGTAATGTAGCACACAGAAAACTGATCCTTATCCATTAAATAGGATATTTTCTGATTGTGTCTCCTTAACACAGCTTGCATAATATCAAAGAACACTGTATGATGCTGGTCTATGATTGTGTGTTTAAGAATATTATTCTACATGGTTGTTACAGTTGTGAGTCTTCTTCATATGCAGTGTTGTGTCTGAATGGGCTGAAACTACATGTTTGTTAAACATGCTTGTATTTTTGGTGAACAGTAAACTGAACGACACATTAAGCAACCAATGAGCAAGAACATTAGCGTAGTTCACCCTGGAGATGGTGAACGACTGCGTATATTGCATATACGGTTCTTGATGAGAACTTTGTGTCAAGGCTGACAAAGAGTAAGGTCTTTTATCTACTCTTATGTAAAATGTCTTGCGATAATGTTTGACTCTGAGGAAGACGCAGTGAGTCGAACATCAGTCTTTTACACCAAAGTCAATTTGCCTTAAGTGATTCATGTGCTCCAGTACTTTCTTTGGATTCTGACGAGAGAATAATATTTTCGTCCAAGGGTCCTCTCTGAGAGCACCAGCCTCCATTTGTGGAGGTATCTTTCTACCTTAAAGATGGATTGAGCCAAAAGTTGAATTTAAGGCACCTGACCTGCATCTGGCATGGCTAATGCTGCTAGTATTTCAGATAATGCAGCTACGGGTACTACTTCAGGCAGGTCTTATGAACATTTAAAGAAGTCAGTGCAGACTCCTACAGGAAGAATCTCACATTTTTATGCAAAGTTTGCCTGTTTGATCACAAAAAAACAAGCCAAAACGTACACTGAATATCTGATCCTCTATTAGTAATAGTTTACATTTGGAGGTTTTCACTATACTTTCATTGTTATATTATTTATAAGAAAATAGGTCTAATGTTCTTAACATGTTGAATCTACTTCTTCTCTAATCTCTCGATCAAGATTGCCCTTTATTCTGTTTTGTGCCAGCAGTTAAGATGTCAATGCTGCAACTTCCTGTGTCTGAGGCAAGATTGGCAGAGTCAGCAGCATTCACTTCCTATAGGCAAAACGCCAGTCCAAATTTGTATTACGCTTGTCAAAGGTGAGGCTCAGCCTAAATTTAGTTGCATGTAATGTATGATTGTAAGTCCCAATCTCCCTATTTGCACGCAGAAACAATGATCCCCCTCATCTGGGTTTAATCATGACGGCATCTGTTTTACGTTCTCCTTGTACTTCACTTCACTTGCTGCTTTTCAGTTTAACACTTGCCCCTCTGTGAATTTCTCTAGTTTTCTTCTTTGCTACCTTGTTGAATGGTTTCATCACAGGTCCGTCATTAGTTGGTGAAATTGTCGATCTGATTTAAAAATTGAGTGTCCTTTGTTCCTTTTTTGCTATTGAGCCCTACAATCACAGAAATCTCTCCCTCTGTCAGATTACCTCATGCATTGATGTTACAGATTTACACAAAGTGTTCACATGAAGACTAATTCAAATGTGTGTGATTATGAAAGCACATTTACAGACAGAGGCAAAGCTGCATACTGTTCAAGTGCACAGCAATCTTTGTCAGCTCCCTTTCAGACAGACAGGAAGAGAGACATGAGGAGAGGAAATAAGAAGAGAGTAACACAAGACTTGACAGACTTTCCATTTAAACCCCTCTGAGTCTCTTCAACCCCCCCCCCCTTAAACACACACATGCTTTTCCCTCTCTGTAGGTGCAATCCTTTTCTCACCTCCCTCACCATCCTTTGACCTTTAAGTCACCACTCATCACTTTCACCTCCTGCCAAATCCCACACCTCATGACTTTTTGAACACAGCTACCGTCTTGCACCCCCACCCCCATTAGAGCTGGAGAGAGGAGGAAGAAAAACTTAATTTCCTTTCTGCACATGGGGTTTTGCTGTCAGCAGCAGTGCTTAAAGTGAATACTGCTGGTCTTTATGTAGCCTTTGGAGAGTCGTAGGTATAAGGGAAATAGCAATGGAAAAACACCCCTGGTGATTTAGAACAAATATCAAGCTGACACAGAGCTGTAACAGCTGTGGTCTGAAGAGCCTGCATGACACGAGGGCAGAATGAGGCTGAACTGTGACTCCTGACCTTTACAAACACTAGATGGTTGATCGTCTCGTCATCATGACAGGTAGAAGGACATTTGAAAGGACATGGACAGGGGAAAAAAAAACATTCACGGTGGTCCCAGCTTGTGGTTTGTTTGTGACTGTCTTTGTCTTTATGTATGAATGTTTGTGTGTATACATTTCCCGTGGCAGGCCTTTGAGTTGGCCTCTACTTGCATAGTTGAAATGTGTGGGCCATACTTTGTTTTGAAAGTGTAAGGTTTCTTTCGCTTCTGCTTCTGCTGGTGTGCTGTTTTGTGTCGGATCCAGCAGGTCTGCCTCCCATATGGTTACCCACACTGTCAAATCTATACCAAGCCTTATGGAGATGAAGGAAGGATGGATACATCAAGACAAACAATGTGACCTACATTGGTTTAAGCTTTTATAGAGGACAGAACCACATTTGCTGTCATGTATTATTACAGTGTAAAAAACATCATTCTATGCG